ATGAATCATTGCCAAGGCGTGCGCCCCAATCGTGAACACTAGGGGCCTGAATACTAGGGGCCTGAATCGTACTTTGCGCGGCATTAGATGCGCTGTATTCCCCAGAACGAGGGTGGTCGTGGGCGTTTAGCTGTGCTGTGTGGGATAGTTGAACTTTGCCAAGCACTCTGTCCTGCACTAGGAGTGCTGGCTAGCGATGCGACGTTTGCTTCCCTATGTTGATTTATTGGAGGCTGCAGAAACGTCTACCTGGGTTAAAACGGATTCATGAGTGCAAGTGCTGATGTTGCGCAGCGACTTGCCTCAGAATATGCTGCAGGCGGAGCATCTGTGCTGGTTGTAACACGAATACAGCCCTCAGCGCATTACCTGCAGCGCTTCCTGTTCTGAACTGAAGCTCACTCGGAACTTTTTATTCTGTTTGTCTGCTCGTATCTTCTGTTTATTGGCGGGGCCAGTACAATAGTTCGTGCCCAGCAATAATCTCCATTCAGCTTGGTGCCTCTGGAAAATTTGTGCATGCCCCCTGCCGACGCCGAGTCAGCTACATACATCCTGTGCGCAAAGCTGATTCTGGCTGGGTATCACGAGGCGCTTAACGAGTTTGAGAGCAATAGGCATGCGGTGCAGAGCGTTGTGTTTCCGTTTGGTGGCGAACACGTGGGGTGTACGCATCATGAATTCACGTTTGAATCACAGGAGGGGATACACGCTTTATCTGATCTCGCTTACATGATTGAATCGTGTGCTATCTTGACGGTGCGTGCGGCTCTTCTGAATTTTTTCCTTATCGCCTAGTCAATATATCGGCGCGCAAATGATGAGCAGAGGAGAAGCAATAACGGGTCTCTTTCGGTGTGGAGGAAGTAGGCAAAGCGAGGCCGAGTCATCTTATCTTCATAGAGCAACTGTAAAAAGAATGTCGGATATGCATCTTACAGCTTCTTTAAGGGCTAAGAAAGCATCAATGTACTGGATAGTAGAAACAACAAACCCGTATTTAGACGTTGTCTTTGTTGAATTTTCTGTGTCTATTAACCCAGCAGCAAAACGCATGCAGCAGCAGAGCAGCACGATGACCCTGTAGCCGAACCGCAGCAGGAATAGGATACTGCACGGCTTGTGCTGCAAGAAGAACACCAGCTACAAGGCGACCAGCAGCAGGCGCAGCGAGCACAGGCAGCAGCAACAGCAGCACATTCAACACAACTCAGTCGTTCTCGGATACACGTACACTGTAGTGCCTGGCACTACAATGTCAGTGCCGGCATAGTAGGTAACTAATGGTTAGCACAAGCAATTTAGAAGCAAGTGTCAACTAATCGTTTCATACGAGTGTAGTAGGATGAGCAGCGCCTATACAAGCGAAGTAAAGAGACCGTGAAAGGGTGCAGGCCTGGCCGGCGAGCGCTGCGAGCAGCCCCCCATTGCTGGCGGGACGAATCTGGGCCGCTACCATAGGGGAAGCCCCAAGGCAGTCTCGGAGATCTATTCTCCCGCTGAATTGCCAGCATAACCCTAACCAAAGCCCAGGATATCACTTTCCTCTTTAAGGTTACGGGTCGCTCTCGTTGTGATTCCTTCGTATTCCATTGGACGTACCTGTCTAGCGCTCCTCTCTAAGCTAGAATGCCTCGCAGGTGCACATTGATTCTATCTGCCTTGATTCTTTAGCGGTAGCTGCTCATACTCCTATCGCGGAGCTAAATTCCTATGGTTATATCTATACTATAGGGTGCATCCTCGGTTTTCAGTAATTTCGGAGTTTTTGAGCCCGACCTAATGAACCACAAGGCATTACATACACCTTCCCTGCGCATTGGGAATGCGAAGACAGAATATTGCGGCTGTTGTTTAAGTAGTAAAGAGACGCAGAGAAGATAGACCGCCACGTGCACTGCAAGCTGTATTTGCGTTGCAAATCGAATTGATTCAAGACCACAAGATTTTTAAATTTGTTCTACTCATAGCGAACAGAAATTGAAGGTGAAGGAGCAAACACTGCAGGAGCAAGTAGGTGCAGGAAAGCAGCAGGTCGCAGATGGTGGCATTGTCTCCTCTCCTTGCAAAGCTTTTAGCGTCTCTTCTTTCTGCCCCTTTGCCTTGTTTGCGCTGTCTCTTTCGGCCCTCGCGCTCCTTTCTGCTCTGCAGCAACCGCAGCAGATGCAGACAAACAGCAACAAACGCAGCAGGAGCAGCAGGAGGCGCAGCCGCAGCAGCAACATCAATCACAACACTAACAGCAACACTAGTAGCTGCAGGTGACACACAGCAGCCATATCACATTTAAACGGGACATTTGCACACATGGACGTGAGCGCTGTATCCTATGGGTGGCAGATGCAGCGTGGTCTGCCTGCAGTTAGCCCAGGAGTCTTCATTTGGCTTTGGTAACGCCAGATAAGCGTATACAGAGGTAAAGCATGCATTTGTTGGAGCTTCTTTTCGCTCACACGTGAGGCTGTCTTGCAGTATGGCCAGCTGCAGCGAGGTGGACTGCAACCCCAGTTAGGTTGCATCTCCGCTGTAGCCCAAAGGCCCTGAGCTGAACGCCCAGGATGCCTGGGGACAGGGGAAGGGAGCCAGCTGCTTTTGGCGTGCACCTCTTACCTGACATGTTTACATCCCTTGCAGCTCGGGTCTGGCCTTGAATAAGGCCGAAAAGCTTGCATTTCATTAGAGGTGTTCTCATGTGGCGAAAAAGGAGACTTTCGGCAGGACATGACTTGCTTCCATCCAGAGCATCATTGGGGAGGCATCCGATACCTAATGAATAAGATGCATTTGCCGATAGCATAGCGGACGAGCAGTGGAGCTCATGCGATGTTGTTGAAAGGCCGAGATGTGCTGCAGAAGCTCCAACCTGGGTGGCAACTCTTCTCTATTTGGGAGATAGTGGAGTGGTTGGTTGGTTTGAATGGGTTGAAGGGCAACTACAAATAGCACGGTACAAATAGCACGGTCGCGGGAAAAATGCTGACCAATCGAATGGAACTGGTCTGCTTTACTTGCATTGAACGACACTTCTCGTAGTGTACACATTTCGAGCTATGAGCTCCTCAGCTCCCCCTGGCCGGTTCATAGACCTACTACGTATCATTTAGTTTGTTGTCATGCAAATTCTCCTGAGCCCTTAGCCCGTCTGGAGCAGGTGCAGTTGCCTCGGGAGCCGCTGTAGCCTACTTGCTTTTCATGGACCGTTTGCTGATATACTTCCGTCAATCACTTCCCGTTCGAGCTACACGTTTGTCAGCAGTGTTGGATCGCTCAAGGAGAAGATGTTTTCTGCTCAAAAGGCAGGTATAGAGTTGTTGCCCGTGCAGAATTGGTGACCGCCGCAACCTAACCAATGAATGCCTCCGGCGAAAACACAGACACAAGCAGTACCCAATAATGAGTTCAGGTAAGGTCCCGAGCGCCCTCACACGATGGAGTGGCAAGGGACTAAGACAAAGGGAGGAACTCGCGGCAAATGAAAGCACGAGAGTTGCTAGCCCTCAGTCCCGCTCTTGTTCATACCTTGTTTTAGAACTCATTAGCAAGGAAAGACCACCTTTACAAAGATACAACTTCCTTAAACCCAGACTGGCTAACACTCAGTTCCGATGATAGTCCCTTGCGGGGCGCCTCCTTAGGTTGCCACTGCAGAGTATCTCGGGCCGGTAGCAACCCCTGCCTCCCAGCCTCAAGGAGCTATTACTGAGCTACAGAAAGCTCAAGGTACACATCTGACTCAACAAATAAAACAAAGCCAACACAGCCTAAAGATAGTTTCTCATTGTTCTCTCCTGCAAGCTCCTCTCGCCGGTTCCCCGGACGATCCGGCACAGCTGCCGTACGGGCTGGGGCTCGAGAAAAAGACAGCCCGGCACGAGTTGCAACATCTTGCTGCACTGTCAAGAAGAACCTCGCATGTATTCAAACCAACACACCGCCTGTTCGGTACACAGTATCTAACGTACCTATTGAGTACCCTCTCAGTAAGTGGCAGCCAGCACTTAACCTAGAATAAACAGGTTTAAGAAAAGTCTTGGCCTATCGTAGAGTCTCTGCAGCATGCAATAGCGCAGGAGCCTTCGCTTGGCCTTTGTAGGCAGTGTAAGCAAATGCAAGCGTTCTATAAATGCATTCAGAGGTAAAGGTTGCAGCAAAGGAAGCTTCGTTGAAGCTTCCTTGTGTGTACTCGTGAGGTTGGCTTGTATTACCAGCCGCGGCGAGGGGCGCTGCATCCCCACTTCAGGCTGCCTCTTCCGCAGAACACCCAGGCCATGAGCTTAACGGCCAGGTTCCCGGATGACAGGGGAAGGATGTCAGCTGCTTTCGAAAAACTATTGTTTTTAAGTACATTGCAGCTCTCTTCTGTCCTTGACTAAGGCGAGAGGGCAAGCATTACTATCTGACCATCAAATATACGGTGGAAGGGCAATCCGGTGCTGTATGCCGCCGAATTTTCGTTTGAATTGAGCCACGGTGAAGTCATAACTCAAAAGACTCGCTAAGCGCATTCAAACCCACTTTGTCTGCGTTCTATTAGCTCTAACAGAAAACGCTAAAAGAACCTTTGGGACCTGGCCGGATGCTGCTGAAGCGTTGGAGATGGAGCACTAAGTGACGAGAAACAATGAAGAATAATGATAAAACAAATGCGACCGCAAAAAGGCGATGAGAAGCAGCAAGACAAAAAAGGGGAAACTCCCACAGCACGATGTGACAGGCGAGATAGAGCTAGCTTCGAAGAAAAGGGCAAGGGAAGCGCTGCACGAGAGTGCCCATCGCGTAACAAGTCCTTACGGAGGACTGTAGAAATATGTAAGAAGTGTTGAGGTATGGATCATTACGCTAGAGACTGTCCAACATATGCTCGAGCAAACATAGAGACAAGGGAAAAGTCTAATAGACAGCCAACATGTTCCGGCAGCGATGGAGCTGGCAGTTTAAACTAGACAGCCTAGGAGTTGTTGGCTACAAACGTCCTAAGCTGTATTCATGGAAGAGTTGTGATGTACGCAGTAGCGGCAGGACCTAATGCCATTCCAGTCTCCCCACAGTGGGGAAAGAAGCCGCTCAGTATGGAGGGTCGGGCTAACACAGGGGCTCCAGAAGCGAAGATGTGTCAGCACTCCTCCGCAGAGCAA